CCCCCATACAAGACTCCACTACCACCGTGCCATCTATTCCGGCCATAAATCTATTAGTAACGGGTGGTGGCCACTCCTGTGATGGCCTTAACGACACCGTTATTGTTGTCCTACACTAATCGTTGAGCCACCAAACACACTAGAATGAAGATAATGGATGTAAAACAATGCACTACAACCACACCACTACTTTGCATTTACATTTTTATGCACTTTAAAAAAGAACTGATACACCCAAAGCAACCATAAATTATAATTTACGAGTTCAGCAATATTATATATGCAGCCTCACAAATTATTAATTACATAATAATAAGAAAAGCAAACAGCAATCAAAGTGGGTGGGCTGCCAGGTGCTCCGGTGTGATTTGCTCCTTCTTTCTTTCTTTAAAATCAGAATCTATCATTGTATCTCTCTCCTTTTCTTTGCTTGTTACTGTCTAGTCACACATCTAGTCTTGGACACTTATATAAGACATGTCTGTGTCGCAAGCGCCGTAAAATTCTTACTTTAAAAAAAAAAAAAACCCAGAACAAAACAATACACACACTTTACCACAACACAAGTACAGTTCTTGCACAGAAGGTTGGAAATCAAAATTTTTCACAATTCATTTTGAGCTACGGTAGTAGCAACATCAATAAGAGACCTGTATGCAACCCACAGTTCCACATCATTGCCTCTTTCCATTCCATTCACAAACCACATGAACAAGATGTAATGACTACTGTCTCCTCTATGCCTGAACTCCCATCTAGTTTTACATAACAAAAGCCCAATCCACCGCCCATAGACTTCCTCAGTATTGCATGGAACATACCACAGTTCAGTACTACTACACGTATTCTCTAAAGTCTAAATAGACATATGAACAAAAAGAGGAATATAAATAGGTTATTAACCTCCAACTTCAGCCATAATTCACTCTGTGCACAATGAACATTCAATACTGAAACGTAAAGAAAGTTTTACAGCAGCAACTACACAGGGATCTAACAAAGACAAAGACTGGTTTGTGGTCTTTCAACGATTTTTGTTATAATATCCGTTTCTCACAATCAACATAGATTGAGCACTAAATTGTGCAATGAGAAAATTGTCGCGACCAGGCAGGTTAAATTTATGTTGAAGTTGTCAAGGCCTGGAGAAAAGAGGACAACTTCCACAGCTGAACATCTTACAACGCATTTTTTTTAAAAACCCAAAACGCAAGGGAAGAAATAGGAAATGTTTGTACAGGTGATTGTCTAGAGAATAGAGTATAGAGGCAGCCTTTAGAGCAGGTTTGACTGTAGGTATCTTAAACTAAACACACATACATCTTTTCCAAAATTATTCTCAACCAAACACAACAAAGTTTCTTGCTTGACTGCTTCCATTAAATTAAGTTTTTTACTAAGAGTTTTACAGTACAAGCAATGAGGTCATATAAGTGCAGAAGATTAGAGATGCTACAGGAGAGAAGAAAACACTAAATAAGAAGGAGACGATAGATGTTTGATAGGGAAGAAGGAGCAAACCACACCAGAGCACACTATTAACTTTATTGATCTGAACAAGAGAAATCCACCCTGGCCATGGACAACCAAGCAAGCTTCTGTTAGGTCACCCACCACTGGTCTAACTATGCCAGATGATCATGCCATGTTATTCAGCCCAGTAAAAACTCTATGACAAGAAGTAGAAAAAATACATCCCACTATTAAAACTATTACCAATGTGACAAACAACAGAAGAAAAAAAGCCATATGTGCATATCAGGGGCTGGGAGACAATGGTAAAACGATGACAATCTTGAACATCTCACCTCACACATTATAAAGCTTAATATAGGGATAGGTTCTTTAAAAAGGAATTATTTTAGAACAATTATTATTAACTCTATGTTTTATTCATGTAAGCTATTTGTCAAATACAATTAACAGCCTTAGACTTATCAAAATATGCCATAGAGGAGAGGCAAAGAAGGAAGGTACTGACACTAATAATGAAAAGTAGAAATTTATCGATCTCTTAGGCACAAATCAATAAAAGTATGGGTGTATAGAGGCCTCCCCCCACCCCCCCTTTCATAAGTCTCAAAGTCAAAGACATCACACAATTGCTGCACATATGCCCATGAAGCTTACACGACATACATTGTGAATGACCCAATTTATGTCTGAACTTATCAGATCAGTCAAATGTAGCTAACAAAAACGGTGTCACATTAGTGCATGGTACAGACTCTATCATAGCAGAAGTTAAAACTTACTCTAACTTGGGCATCCGTTAGCCCAGAAAAAAACTGAATACAGCTTATATATCATACCAAAACACAACAAAATAAGCAACTGAACCCCAGATCATGAATTGAACACAACAAAAGTAAAGATATGATGCACCTACCAGACTTTATTGTCGCGGTCTTATTATAAATGAAATAACTGAAATAAGAATCGAACATTCCCTTTTGTGACAACTGACAACTACAAGAAGCATTAGCACAATATCATATTCAATACCTCTACTGAAAGCAAGGAATTCCATTGAGTGCCAGACATTAATTCGTTGTTTATTTGGGAACAGACTTGCTTGAGCAATTCGGCTGACGATCATCCCCTTACAAAAGAATGCCCTTTCTGTTTCTCATGTAACTAATAGTCATTAATAATTTTAAAATAAAAAATATTTGTCAAATTTGTTAAAATTAAGAGGCACAAACAGTACTAAACAGCGCAAACATTTTATAAATAGAAGAAAGCAGGGGTACAAAATTCAATTTTGTTGCCTGTCACATTAAAATAAACACGAATTGTAATACAGTGCAGCCTCTCAATAACGATCTTTGATACAACGACATCCTCTGTATAGCTACATGGTGGCCAGGCCCCGACTTTTTCCAGATAAATCATGTAAGTAATAATTTTTGTTTGCCTCTGTATAACGACATTTTTTTCTGGTCCCGACGATGTCGTTATAGAGAGGCTGCACTGTATTAGAGAGACAGGGTTTGAAGAGACGGGTGAAGTTTCACACTGCCAAATAAAGCAAGTCTAGTGGTCAATTTAGGACATGTTGAGGATACTTTAAACGTACAAAAAATAAATTATTGAGATGACCAAAAAAGAAAAAGGGGTAGGCATAAACCAAAGCAAAAAGAGAATAAGAAGAAAAGAAGAAATATACCACTTTCATTAAGTGACAACACAAAAGGTTTAGTCTTTTAAAGGCTGTTTTGGGTAAAGACCAGAGACCGTCCAGTGGGTTTTGATGAGTCGTGAAACTTGCAAGACTCCTCACCATGAAGCTATCATCTATGAGGTGGTTGTAGCATCACTTTCCGCAGCCTGAATGTACTAAAACTAATGACACACACCGCTAAATCTACATTTCCACCCTTGACACCAGGAGGCGTGCATTACAAACTAAATCTCTGCTTGTTGACCCAAACAAGTGAACAAAGCTCGACTTAGGCTATTAATTTCACAACAAAACAGGCCCAAATCATTATAATAAACCTTTCCATTTATTTGGTTATATTTTGCTAGAAGCAAATGAGACCTTACCAAAATCTATTCAAGGGAACAATATATTTAATGGGAACTGGCCCACATAATAATGGTAGGGCCAAAGACTGGTCTAAACCTAGGCCTAGATCTAGATCTACATACCACACACAAGCGTTTTAATTATAAGGATCTAGGCTAATAAACATGCCTTCAATTTTGTCTTCCAGATCAAAAGGCAAAAATAATTTCCAATGGAGATTATACAGATTATCACAAGTCATAAGTTACAAGGATCGGAAGATACTAGATCTAGATCTATTTGTTGAAATCCTTTTCCACAAGCTGAAACATCATTTGAATTTTTTTTTACCCCTCAATCGAATAGCCATACAGGGTAGAACCTACTTCAAGACACAAGACAAGCCGAGAGACAGCAACGCGATCCCCAACCTCTGGGGATGTAGCCTAGATTCTAGATCTATGTTGCTCCATCCAGTGAAGCAAATAAAAGACAGCTCTTCGTCTCTTCAACTTCACAAATTAAAATATACAGGGAAACACTCAAAGATAAGGAGAATGAGTTTTGAAGGAAAGAAAAGAACTGAGAAGTGGAGGAGTCGGGAGGGTCGAGGGTAGATTGTGAGAATGAGGGCCGAGTTCCACATTCCCATTGATTGAGATCGGGGTTGCAAAAAAAATTGAACGCAGGAAAAAAATTAGAGGATGCAATCGCCTGGAATTAAGATGCGTCTTTAGTTTACGTAGATTACAAGAACATGCATATGCGAGGTCTGAAAAATACACTCGGGAAAATTCAAATCAAAAGTGGTCCTCACCCTGCCTAGCGAAAGAGTGCCGCCATTGACGCCATTATGGTTCACTGATCGGACACATAGGGGGCGCTACTGCGACTATTTTTATTCCCAAAATAATGAAACGGGATTTGGGCACTGCTTTGAATTTTGAGTTCGGTCTTGGTCTTGGCCTAAGGGTTTGACTTCGCTGACTTGTGAGAACTTGGTTTCCCTACAGTTAATCCTTGGTAAATCCCTGACTCATTTCCTGTGTATCAGGTTGCCCAAATGTAATGCTTGCTAGCATGAACAGATCAAAGTTTCATGGGGTAGAAGAATCTATTGTTCATGAAGAAAACAAGGCAAGAGAATTTCTTCAGAACTGGGTTCGACTCTCAAAATCACAATAGGCTTAGCTATATTATTAGAACTAGAATCTAGGCCTACTGATTATATTAGCCTAGATCTCCATATTAAAAAAAAATCAAGGTCTAGATTCAATCGATTAAATCGAAAAGAGGCCTTGATACACATTTAGACTTTAGTCAAAACTGAGCATTCCGTAATACAATCACAATGAATAGAATAGAAAGCATTTTAGTTTAAGAAAAGAAAAGTTTTGAGTTTAGAAATCTAGAATTCTAGATCTAGATAAATCTAGATTCTAGTAATGAAATCGTTGAGGCAAGAAACTTCCCTTCAGCTTTTCCATTAGTCGAGTCAACGGTAACTCTATGAATGGAAAATATGAATGACGCTAAACGGACTTGGAATAATGGATAAATTTGTCTGGGAACGCATCAAGATAAAGATAAGAATGGACAATGACAATGGGACATGGTGACTCTAACAACACAAAAAAAAACTCTGCGTGAACTGGCATAATGTGCTGCCGATTTTCGGGTTCGCGACCTCATTTAACTATGCAAAATAAAGCACGGGGGCTATTGTCAACTATTGAAGTAAAAGCATTGTAACTAGAAATCTAGATCTAGAGTCTAGATATTTAAGGCTTAATCTAATGCTAGCCTCATTACTTATTAAAATTTATCATTTAATTTTCGATGACTTTTGATTTTGACAGTGACAGCTAACCTTGAATTGATATTGATCCAAGTCTAGATTCAACTCCTATATCTAGTCTAGGCTATACACCAAATCAAGCTCAGACTGTCAGGCGTCAGGCTAAGCCAAAGTGATATTTAGGCTATGCTAAACACTAAACAAGTAAACAAAGCAAGATCTAGATCTAGAATCTAGATATATAGATCTAGGCCTCAAGTTGGAGTTTAGGAGGTCTACTTTACATTAAAATGTTTTGTTATTGTTAGCAATATAAGGGCTGGTTATCAAGTTAATAAAGTGAAGTAGGCTACATCCACAAAGTTAAAGAGGACCTTCTCGCATAGATAGTCAAGATAGAGACATTAGAGTAGGCTACATTGCCTGGACAAAATAGATCTAGATCTAAAAATAGATCTATTATATTCTTTTAGTCCGATCTAGATCTAGATTCTAGATCTAGAATCTAGATCTAGATATCTAGATTTAGATCTAGATTCTAGATCTAGACCTAGAGGTGGTTCTTTATTCTCACCCATTAACCAAACAAGACAGACCTCATAGAACATAAAATTTGAAGACTAGATCTAACCAAGAATAGCAGTTCCAGCTCTGTCATTTTTTACAAACAAAGCAATTACAAATTATGACATGGCTTACGTGCAAAAAATCTTCATAGAGCATTTGATTAATCCGTTTCATACGAGTACTTGTAATCACCGAATCCAGTTGTAAATCCAGAGCATAAAATCCAAGGTTTTTTTCGAAATAGACTGTGTGGTGGGTGGTGAGGAAAGCAGTCGACACAACAAATTCTGCCACTGAACTGTAGCCTCAAGACAGCCGACAGAGGGGAGCCGAAAGCCCTCACAAGCAAAGACCACGATAATCCTCCTTGAATGTGTTGGTAGCGAAACAGTGAAACTGAACGTAGCCAAAGGAAACCCGTCGAATGTGCACCATAACAACAACACTGGGTGCAGCTTGATCAACTTTAGGTACACACAGATCTTCCAATAACTCTACCAAAACACATTCACTGAACACAAATCCAACCTTGGTACAAGCGCTCGAAACAACTAGGCCACACCGCTACACACTACAGAGAGACGCATTGAAAAGTTGGGAACATGTGCCCCCGACGCCGAAAATGCCCCCCATAGCCGTGACGTCACAGCTTCAATGGGTACTGGGCCAATCAAAACGCAGGCAAAATCAGCGTTCTCAAACTTCCTGGGACCAGTCCATTGTCATAGGGGGTGCTAGCCTCGATTGTCGGTACGCTCTGATAAACAATGTCATAGCGTAGTCAAGAAACCCCTTTCAGATCGTCAAAGTTAGAGACTGAGATACTTTGGGAGCAAGTTTTTTTCCATTAGTTTGCTTTTTATTGACTGTTCACCAAGTTCAAAGCTCCAGGGAAATAGAAGTATGAACCTGCTACGAAATGGAGCAGAGCATCAATTACCACTGAACACGACTGTGTAGTGACAACAGCAGTCAAGGGGAAGTTACAGGAGTAGTGAAGAATACCTGTGCCTGTTTTGTTACCCCCACCATAATATAATCTACTCTCTCTCTTCCCCTCTCTCTCTCTCTCTCTCTCTCTCTCTCTCTCTCTCTCTCTCGCTACGCCTGTGTCATTGGGTAACACGACCGAGAAACCTTCACCACGTTCTGTTATATCCCCCTGTACACAGGGCCTGTGGTAATATAACACTTTAAAAATAGTACACAGTACACACAAAAGCTACCTATTCCATCTTAAAAGTATTAAAAGTGCATGTACAATGTGCTATGATAGTATACACTGAAGTACAGCTATAAAGTCCCATTTAAAAAGTACGAAAAGTACAATTGTATATATACAACAGCCACCTGTTCCACCCTTAAAATGCATGTACTACCAAGATGGTATATATTACATACAAATACCCTATCTGAAAAGTACATGTACTAGAACTATAATTATACATAACAGCCACCTGTTCCATCTAAAAAGTGCATTTACTATGATAGTATACACTATAGTATAAATTCTATAGGCCCCATTCATTTTAAAAGTGCTGGAACTATAATTGTACATAACAGCTGTCTGCTCCATCTTAAAAGTACTATCTCAGTGGGGGGG